GTGTGTGTGTGTGTGTGTGTGTGTGTGTGTGTGTGTGTGTGTGTGTATCAGGCAGCATCTGGCAGCTCTTTTTTTCCCAACTAGCACGTTTTATTGAAGAAGAAAAAAAAAAAACCCAGCAGCTTCCGTGAGCTACTACAGACATAACGTATTCTCCTGGTGGGATGGGGCAGAGAAGAAGAAAAAAAAAAAATCCCCTCTCCCCTCCGCCTCCCAGTGACAGCCCTGCACAACTCCGGCTGTCCTTACCAGCAGCAGCATGAACAGCAGTAGCCAAAGAATGCAGCCCAGCAAGCTTAGTTAGGTTAGGGCAGGGCAGGGTAGAGCGGTGTGCAAGGGAAGAAGGGGGTGGAGACACGCTGGCAGCTACCCTGGCCTAGATAACGCGGCCGAGATCTGACTGCTGAACTGTTTAACAACAGCCATGTTCCAGCCCAGCTGAGGTCTGGCCCCTCACCCCATGGGGAGTCCCACTCTCAGAGTCCTGCTGCTCCTCACCGCCTTCCTGCTGGATCTCCCGCCTGCTGCGCTCCAGACCCACCAGCCGTGTCCCTGCGGAGAAGTCCTCACCAACTTCGTAAGGAGATTCTCTTCCTGGGGAGAAGACTTGAGGGGAGGGTGGCTTTGGTGGGGATCGATTCCTCTCATAGGGTCAAGGGTTCGAATGCTGAGGGGACCGAAACCTTTGAAGTTGATTTCTTCTTGGTTCGTGGGAATGAAAACCACCAGGAGTAGCGAAGAGGGCACCTACTCCAGCGTCTGCTCATTTGCATGATAGGCAGTGGAGGGACTTGAGGCCATGTGGTTTCTGAGGTGGGAACTTATGAGGAAAGGCTATCTTTCTGACCTCCTCAGCTAACTTGTGACCGATTTTGGATGTGTTTGAAGGAGAAGACATTGTCACATGTGGTCAGATGTGGCCCATCCAAGAGCTGGAGGTTTTGTGTTTAGCAACATCATGTATGTGATTAGCCGATGGCATTAGCAACACTGACACAGGCACTTTGGCCGTCTCCAACAAAGCTGCTAAAAAAAAAATGTAATCTTTGATGGAGTCTGGTCCCTCTTCTATGTTGTTTGTCCTCTTAGTAACTGAGACCAGCCTTGCCTTTAAATGTGTCTTGCAAGTTAAAGCTTAGCTTCATGCTGTAAAATTGTAATAATAATTTAATAAGTGGGAAAAAGTGATTGAATATGTGCGGGGTGTATTTAGTTCATCGCTGAGTTAGTCATAAAGAATACCAGAAGGAGCAGAGCTCAAAGCTCAGAGGACACATTGCAGGCAGAATTGTCCCTGGCTGAAATAATTGATTTCACAAACAGGACAAAAGTGCAACAGTTTATCACTTAGTATGATGTGGACAGCCAGTTATCAATTTATTGTTGATAATTCCTCAAACAGTCCAAACAAAATTGACAGAGTATTTGGAAAGAGAGTAGAGAAAATGGGGAAGGAGCTATGGTATGGGATTTCTGGCATTTGAAAGGAAAAAAAAAACCACCCACTGGCTTACAGTCAAAAAAAGAATGAATAAATAACATTTAAAAGTCTCAGTTGTGAATGGTAGAATAGATGTCTATGTAGAAATACCCAAAGATTTAAAAGTATGTTATTGTGCAACAGAGGCAGTTAAAGAATTTTTAAACATCACAGAGTTTTGGATAATTTCAAATGCTTGTCAACTAGATACAAGGACAGTTTTTTCCTGAATGCCATCACCCTGCTAAACAATTACTTCCCACAACACTGTCATACTACTTAGAAAGACTGTATTACTATTATTATTCTCATCCTTCCTATAACCTATCTCTTCCTACTTATGACTATAACAGTGTTGCTTGCATCTTTACAATTCATATTGTTTTATTTGTTTCCTAATATGATTTGATTGCTTAATAGTAACCTATGATTATCACTAAGTGTTGTATCTTATGATTCTTGATGAATGTATTTTTATTTTTTTTCTTATGTACACTGAGAGCATATGCACCAAAGACAAATTCCTTGTGTGTCCAATCACACTTGGCCAATAACGAATTCTATTCTATTCTATTCTATTCTATTCTATTCTATTCTATAAAAGGTGTGCATGTTATGTCACCAAAGTGATGTATTCATTTGTTCCTAAAGATGCTTGTATTTCTCTGAACATTTCATGAAAGATGTGCAGCCCAGCAGCAATCAAAAAATTTGTCCATTTGGGGTTTATTCCCACCTCTCTTCTTTGGCAAATCTGTAAAGTTGATTTCCTTGAATTGGACTGTTTATAGAATTAGTATTAGAATATGCATGCATTTTAATGGGCATGTCTTTGAATTTTACTACAAGTTCAGAGTTTTGCAAATAATTCCTTTTGTAATGCCTTTTATACATTGTTTTCACACACACACACACACACACACACATTTTAATGCACAGGTCTTTCCTTAATAATAATTAGTGAATGTGTTTAAGAACACGATGAACAACATTACAGTATTCCACTCCAAAATATTTTGAATTTTGAATGACAATTTAGCTTTGACTTCCAGATTGGTTTTAAAAAATGGCAAAATTAAGTAAACAAATATCTCTCAAATCCCTGCATCTAGTCCCATGCCTTTGATGGGCAGTCAGATCAGATGATACAATCTTAATATCCAGATTGTAATTTGCAAATAGCAAATTTCCAAGAGCTATATGCTACATTGTCAAATCCAAGACCCTTATGGCTAATTTATGCATTCAACAAAGATAAGAGGATTTTTTGTTCAAATAAAGTTCTCATAATGTGGGTGTGAGAGAGTATAAGTCCTTGCACGTACATACATGTGCAAACACCCACTTCCTTTTCATTTTCCAACTCTCAACACTGGAGAAACTGACAGGGATTGGCAACCACACACAGTGGTTAAGGTGCATCAAAGGATGCAGAAATTCAAAAAAAAAGGGGGGGGGGAGGAAGGAAGAGACATCTGAACAGAATAAGTCTTAAAAGAAATAGGTAACTGGAATTGATCAATGGGAAGTGAGAAGCCTGTTCTCCTAACTTTATCACTTTCAGAGCCTGTAATAAAGTTAACTAGGATTTTGTACGACTTATAAAGTTTCATTAAAGAGCAGAGAAGAACATAGAGAAGGTGAAGGAAATAATGGAGGGACAAACTTCCGAACTGTTAGAACTTCATGATGGGCTTGCACTGGAGTAGAGAGCTAAACTGCCATTGGCTTAAGAAAAGTATCACCTCCTGCATCAACTGAAGCAGATAACTTCTAACCTGTGAATAGTACATTTATTAGCAGAAGTAATTTCTTTCTAGTATCCTTCTGTTCAGTTTGCAGATAAGTTTTAAAGGATGCAGCTGTTGTTCTCAGGATTGTGGGAAAACCTTTCCTTTGGATGGGTTTTCTGTGTTGCACAAAGAAATGTTAATAGTTGTTTTTCTTCCCAAAATACAATTCCCTTTGGGGAGGGGGGATAACTTTATATTCTACCTGTCTTCTTCTCCTCCTCTTCCTCCTTTTTTTCCTCCTCCTCTTTTTTCTTCTACTCCTTCTCTTCCTCCTCCTTTTCCTCCTCCCCCTCCCTCTCCTCCTCTTTCTCCCTCTCCTCCTCCTCCTCTTTTTCTTCTCCTCCTCCTTCTCTTCCTCCTCCTTTTCCTCCTCCCCCTCCCCCTCCCTCCCTCTCCTCTTCTTTCTCCTTCTCCTCCTCTTCCTCCTTGACAGCTACACACTTTTATCCCATTAAGGCTGTTTATTCTGTTTATTATCTCACCTAGAAGTTTAGTATTTTGTCCTCCTTTGCAAAGCTCTTAATCACTTTGTGACTAAAATATGACAGGTGATAATATGACAGAAAATTGGCACTTTCTGTAGCAAAGAGAAACAAACTGTTGCCTTTCTGCCCATTCACTACTTTACTTGTTTATATAATATCATACCCACCCTTAACAGGTTTAGAGCTTCAAAGACTGGATTTATTTTCATGTAGGCATTGCTACCGAAAATGGATTAACATAATGTAATAATAGTGAATTTGTACTCACTTGAGCTAAATTAGGTATTAATGTAGGGTAAATTCTCAGCATTACCTCTGTTCTCTTTTCTTACAATTTTACACAGGGGCCTGGTTTCCATGTTTTCCTCCTGATATTTTGTCTTCCAGCCAAATATTTGTGCCCTAAACATTAATACCACACCCAGACCCTTAGCAGAAGAATCTTTTTCCTTCACCTTATTTTCCATGCCAAGAAAACCACTGTCATCTAGTAGCTTTCATTTATTTATTAACAAAAATAATTATCAAGTATTTTTACACCCCTTTCCTCTTCAGTTGAAAAAGCTCCCAAGGGGTTATATGCATCAATCATCATAATTGTTGCCATCATTTTTACCCTAAAAATGACATGACATAAAAGGAAATAGTGATGAGAAGGGTAGAGGAAAATCATGATGATTGACTACTAGGGATACAGTATTGGGGGAAGGAGGAAACCAAAGGCTTTACCATTGTTGATGAAATAAGCTTGTTTTTTATTTCTTAGTCTGTTGCAAACTCTCAGAGACAATTTTAAACAAAACTTGACCGACTGCTGCAAGTAATTTATTCTTCATAGTAAGTACAGGTTGTCCTTGACTTTCAAAAGTTCATTTTGTTCAAAGTTACACCAGGCACTGAAAAAAGTGACATGACCATTTTTCACATTTATGACATTTACAGCATCTCCTTGGTCACGTGATCAAAATTTGGATGCATGGCAACTGGCATGTGTTCATGACAGTTGTAGTGTCCAGCGGTCATGTGATCAGCTTTTGTGACCTTCTGACAAGCAAAGTCAATAGCGAAGCCAGATTCACTTAATAATAGTGTTATTGACTTAAAAACTGCAATGATTCACTTAGCAACTGTGTCAAGAAAGGTTGTAAAATGGAACAAAACTCACTTAGCAAATGTTTCAGCAACATAAATTTTGGGCTTCATTGTGGTAGTAAGTGAAGTTTACTGAAGTCTGTATTTGCTGCCCTATAATTGGGGCCTTCCAGATTTTTGGGGGGACTACATCTCCCATATTCCCTTGCTTTGGGTAAGCTATCTGGGGATGATGGAAATAAAGTCCCAAAAGAAAACAGTTTTTTTTTCTTCAGACTGTGTTTGGTGGAACTGAATAGGGTTTTGTAAAAACTAAAGGGAAAAAAAATCAATTGAATTCAGCCAGTTTTCTGTCACTAAAGCTTTGCCTCCTAATTAAGATTTTTATAATTGGAAAGTGTATGGTTGTCTATCCCAGCTTTAAATCCTCAGCTTTCCCCTTGTATCCAGAACTGATTGAGTAACGTTGCTGTAGTAAAAACACACACAGCTCAAATGTTTTTCAGTGATTTGTTACTGGCAAAGTGTTACACAATTGAAGGTGTGCCTCTCTCTATCCATCCACTTGGTTAGAGTAGAGGTTGCCCTCATGCAGGAACAGAAAAACCACATCTGTGGGCACAGTAAATACATCAAGCCAAATCTCTCCACACTGAGAAACGAAACGCGGCTTCTGAATTGCCAGTCTCCTGCGATAAGAATCATCTGTCAACAACTGCAAAGAGAAATATCGAAAGAAAGCTAACTTTCCTATCCCTGATCTCTATTTTGTCTTAGATTGCAAATGACTAATAGAGGATCGTGTAGGTGGGGGGAGACAGGATCATCTGGTGGTTTTTGACTAGGCTGTATTAAAGTCACTGCAGGGTTTGGTAAACGAAGTAACGTGATTACATGGGGATGTGGGCAGCTGCAGTATTTTCCTCAATCCCTTAGAAAAATTACCATGTTTCTCCAACAATATGGCCTCCACCAATAGGAAGGCCCATCATGATTTCTAGGCATGAGGTGAAATTAAGCCTCACCCCCAAAATTTAGGCCTATTTAAACCATGTGTTTCCCCGCCATTTCTCACATCGTTCGTTAGAACTACATGAGGTGAAGAGAAATGGGGGGGGGGAAGGCGGGGTGGTGGTGAGAAAACTTGCCTTTAGGAGTGCCCTGAAGGTAGCCTAGGCTAGAATACCTCGATAGCCGATAGAAGCTCCCCGAAGGCAGAGTCCCCAGCCGCTTCAGGGCGTGGCATGGCTGCCCGTGTCCCCTCGCCTTTAGGCAGTCTCGGGCGATGGAAGCTCCTCAAATGCAGTCACCAGCCACTTCGATCGGCCGGTAGAAGCGGCCTCGGGGCGAGCGCACACACACACTCCCCTCGCTGCGAGGCCGCTTCTGCCGGCCGACGAAAGCTCCCCGAAGGCAGAGTCCTCAGCTGCTTCAGGGTGTGGCATGGCTGCCTGTGTCCCCTTGCCTTTAGGCAGTCTCTTTTGGGCGATGGAAGCTCCCCAAGTGCAGTCACCAGCCATTTTGATCGGCCAGTAGAAGCGGCCTCGCGGCGAGGGGAGTGTGTGTGTATGCGCTCGCCTCGAGGCCGCTTCTACTGGCTGATCGAAATGTTAGAAACGGCCTCACGGCGAGGTATGTGCGTATGGGCCGCTCTAGGTGGGGGAGGAAATTAAGTCACCCCCGAAAAGATGGCCTTGCTGTTTTTCGGGGGTCAAAAAAAAAAATAAGGCCCGGCCTTATTTTGTGAGAAACACGGTAGGTTTTGCTCAAGTCCTGGCAATTTTAGTGTCTTTCCAAAGAATTTAAGAAGTGTCCTTGGTGAGGCGCTTCCCAACCGAATGGAAACTCCCATGAAGGTTATGTCAGCAATTGTGCTTTGATACCATGGGGTTGCATCCATTTCTCAACTGGCAGATTTTACATAGCCATGTTGATGACCTTCAAGAGTGTAGATGCCCTTCAAGATCAGCAGCTGTGATGAAAGTCCCCAAATTGTATTCCTTTTGTGTGTTCCTTTCCTATTGTGTGAAGAAGTTGTTCCTTTATCTCTTGTCACCTCAGGACTCAGCAAGGGTTGGTCAAAAGCCAGTAAATATTTCAGCAGTCCACACGATACACACTCAATACACTCAAGGCCTCCTGAAGAGGCCTCAGACAGCTTATTTACTGTTCTGTGAATTTTCTGCTTTATAAAGAGAGGCCTTTGATTTAACTTTTCCCCTCTAACTCTACCTTTCTTTTTTGTTTTGCAGGATTGCAGTATTAATGGTAAGAAAATTAACCTTTTTTATGGAACTTAACTCTGTGTTGAATTTGAGCCTAGGGGGGTGGAGGTAACAATTGGGATCTGAATGAAGGGGAAGGACTGGAGATCTCACTGCATTCAATTGGGCTGAGGTTGGAGTAGACAACCAATGAGGGGTCCTTGGTGCTCACAACTGATTGACTATCTTGACCAGCACTGATGATGTTACCTAGTTGGGTAATGAAATGTCTGCAAGAAAACAACCAAGCTCAGAAAGCACCAAGGACCGCTCATTTCAACCTCGAGCTACAAATACTTCCCTTTATTGGTAGATAAATGCAGATTTGGTTGCAAGGCGTTGTGACTTGAAAGCAGTGGTGCACCACCACAAAAACTGTTAAATTTGCCCTCATTGATTTTGAATAGCTTTTTTTTTAATTTTAGTGCTATTGTAGCATATCCTCTTACCCATGGCATGAAGATACCCTGTTGACTTTTTTTAAAAATTTTTTAAAATCATTATTATATTACCTTAATGTTTATTCTCAGCTACCCAGTTAAATTTGAAAGTTATATATTCCATCTTCTCTTGCTGCTGAGAAGTTCAGATGATGTCCGCAGGGACTGGGATTTGCTTGGCTCCAGTTTGTCACTTGTGGCTACTCTGAACATGCTTCCCCCACACTAAATAGTAAGTATGACCCTCGGTGGTCACCTTGGCTTAGGCTGCTGGGGAGATCAGACCCCGGACCCGCAGTGTGTAGCCCAGGTAATGACTGACTGGAATTTCTTGAAGTGCTTTTGAGTGCTATGTAGGTGCTTTTTAAAGCCAAGATCCTTTGAGGGAGTGGCGGTGTCTATAAAACAATGCAGTGAGAAATTTCAAAGTCAGTTCTCTCTCTGTATTGTTTCACACAGGTAGTCCTCAACTTACAACCATAATTGAGCCCAAAATTGTTGTTGCTAAGCGAAACATTTGTTAAGTGAGTTTTGCCCCACTTTACGATTTTATTGCCAGAGTTGTTAAGCGAATCATTGCAATTTGGTAAATTAGTAATCTGGCTTCCTCGTTGGCTTTGCCTGTCAGAAGGTCGCAAAAGGGGATCAAGGCAACTGTCATAAATATGAGTCAGTGGCCGAATTTTTATCACGTGACCATGGAAATGCTGCAATGGTCGTAAGTGTGAAAAGTGGTCATAAGTCACTTTTTTCAGTGACGTTTTAACTTTGAACGGTCACTAAGCGGACTGTTGTAAATCGAGGACTACCTGTAGACAGTTGCTACTCTCTGTCATAGGCTAGAGAAATAGGGGAGAGGTGAAATAGACCAGTGCCATCAACATCGTCATCACCACCATCAGACGCAGGAGCAGCACATTCACCTGGAAGGTAGTCCTCGATTTACAACCATAATTCGAATTGGAATTTCCATTGCTAAGCAAGGCAGTGGTTAAGAGTCTAATTTTCTGACCGTTTTTGCTGTGGTTATTAAGGAAATCACCACAGACATTAAGTAAACATGTGTTTATTAAGTGAACCCGGCTTCCTCCATCGACTTCGCTTGTTGGAAGTCAAACGAGAAGGTTGCAAATGGTGATCAGGTGGACCCTGGATACTGCAGCCTTCATGCATTCCATGCCGGTGGCCAAGGGCCCAAAGTTTGATCAGAGATGCTGTGATGGTTGAAAGCGGAAGGACGGGTGATAAGTTCCTTTTTTCAGCACCATTGCAACTTTGAACAGTCGCTAAACAGTCCCAGTTGTGGTTGTAAGTCAAGGATTGATTATCTGTAATGAAGTTTGGTGTTTTTTTTTCACCACTTAGCATGCTGTGCAAACCAATGGTGGTATTCAACCGGTTCTGCCCGGTTCTGGCAAGCCAGTAGGAGCGATGAGCAGTGAAGACCGAATGGTTCTCTCCACTGCTCTGCTGTTGGGCCCACCTGCCCGCCTGGGCTCCCATACTCACTTTTATCTGCTGAATTTGAAGTGCAGCTGCTTTGCGCGGCACAGAATAGTGCCGCATGGCAGCTGCTGAAGTGACCGGGATCGTGCAGGCTTGCAGGAGGCAAGTTAGAACGCCTCTGCGCCTGTGCAAAGTGCGCCCACCAAGCCACACCCACCGAACCAGTGGCAACAATATTTGAATCCCACCACTGGTACAAACCCACTAATTATTGGTTTATTATTCTGCGTGAACCAAAACAAATTATTTTTCTTTAAAACATCCTGCTTTAGCACTGTGAGAATGGAGTCAATGTTGGTTGCTCTGAAGCAGGAGTCGCCAACCTTTTGGACCTCAGGGTCCACCAAACTCATAATTTTAGATCCCAGGGACCACTAACTGGTTCTGTGGGCGTGGCTTAATTTGTGGGTGTGGCTTGATGGTCATGTGACTGGCTGGACATGGTTTGTATGTAAATATTATAAATATTTATATAAATATTGATTTTTTTATTATAAAAAGAGCAACTTTTACCCAAAATCAGGCAAAGCAGGCAGGCAGATTAAATTGCTCACAGAATCACATATTCATTCAGAAATCTATCTATCTGCCATTGGCTAGCTCTGTCACATAAAATTTGCTTGCAAGCAAACTCACAAATTTAATTCACAACACACCATGCATGTAAATATTGAATTTTTTTATTTAAAAAGAGCAACTTTTACCCAAAATCAGGCAAAGCAGACAGATTGAGTTGCTCATAGAATCATTCAGTGATCTATTTATCTGCCATCGGCTAGCTCAGTCTGTCAAATTTGCTTGCCGTAAGTCTGCACTGAATTTGCTTGCAAGCAAACCTTCAGTCCTAAGGGAGGTTCGGCTGTACTTAAAAGCAGAACCAAAGATCTAAAGACTAGCTAGAAAGCAAGAAATCCAACGATTTCCTGCTTCCTAGCTAATCTAAATCTCCCGGCACAGCAGAACAGATGATGGTCGGAAAAAGGAAAAATAGAAATTTAGCAGGCATGACTTGTTCTTTTCTATGTTAAGTGCTAATATTACAGAATTCCTACTCTGTTTTACTCCTGTCCTCTTTCCTTTGGAGCATGTGCTAGTAGCCACTGTAAATAGATATAACAATCGGCTATTGTATAGACACTATAATGCCAGTTAAGTATCCAAACAAGCTTCCTTATCCAATCTGTGAATGTATTTATTTGAGGATTACAAGAAAAGGAAGATAATGGCTAAGTTTGCACATCAGGTGAAGACAAAATCAAACAAACCTTAATCAAGCATAAGTTGATTATAAACCAAGCATATGCGTCGCCAGGAGCATTCAAACGGGTCAGGCCTTTATGGTCACTTACCAGGGAGTAGGTAAACATATGTGGATTTTTGCTGGGAGTTACTGGAAGGTTCTTCTCCTCTGTTCTCCTTTTATAGAGGCGTACGCATTGCACTTTGATGCCTTACACCTTTGTTTCCTTATACACCTTCAGGGAGAAAGGTTGCATGGAAATTAATGTAAACTTTGCCCTAGAACTTGTTTGCAGTTCAATTTGCCTGCTTGCATATTTATTTATTTCATTATTCAATTTGTGTGGCTGCCTAACTCAACAAATATCTCCGGATGGCAAAATCATAAATGAATCCTGTCATAAATACAAAGACTGAGACACACAGTAACCAAAGAAGATAACAGTTTAAAATTTGAATTGAGGCCCAGCGTGGCCTCAAGATCAGGGGTTGGGGTTCAGGCCTCTCTACTACACAGTTATTAATTATAGCTTTAAAATATATGGGTTTTTTTCCCCCCTAGGAAGCTCAGTGGGATTTTTTTTAAGTGTGTGTGTATGCCTTTGAGTCAGTTTTTCATTTCTGTTGGCTGCCTGGGCAGGTACCTGTGGTTTTCTTGTCAAGATTTCCCTTGCTGCCTTCTTCCTAGGGCTGGGAGAAAGGGACTGGCCCAAAGTCACCCAGCTGACTTTGTGTGTAATGCAAGACTAGAACTCATATCTCCCACTTTTTAACTGGATGCTTTAATTCAGGCAATCTTCAAACTTGACAGCTTTAAGACTTGTGGACTTCAACTCCCAGAATTCTTCCCCAAGTCATGTTAGCTCAGGAATTCTGGGAGTTGAAGTCCACAAGTCTTAAACTTGCCAAGTTGGAAGACCTTTGCTTTAATTCATTGTTGCTCAACATTCTGGCTGAGGAATTCTGGGTGTTGAAGTCCCCACAACTTCATGTGGCCAAGGTTAATACCGCTGTGCAAATTTGCATCCTTTTATAATTTATTAAGGACCTGATTTGCTGCTCTTTGCTCTGCATTTGAAGGTACTGACTTAAGTCATATATGGCCCTGAAACCTTTGGGTTTGTCTCCAGAGCTTTTCCAAAACTGCCACTGCTAAACTGCAGTAGTTAAGTAATATGAAAGAGAAGAGCGATGGCACACATTTGCTGTACTAGCACTATACCTTCTTGACCTGATCTGGAGCTAAGCAACACTGGATCAATTTAGGACCTGGATAGGAGACCATCAAGCAACATTTCACCAGTAGGTTAGACTGGGAAGAAACCAACCAACAAACAAAAAATCTGCCTGGAAGTTAGCAATAGCCAACCACTTTCATACTGTTAGATCGCGGGAAAGGAGACTCGAGACCAGTGTGCCTTTTCAGCTCTTTATTTTAATGTATAGATCAGTACAAGATCTTGGAGCCGCGGCAGCCCTTCATATAGGGATTGCTCGCGGCTCGCCAGCCAATGACAGCTCTTTGAATCTCCCGCGATTGGTCCGGCCAATCGCGGTTGATTCATAGCGAGCCAATCACAGTAGTTTAGTTAACCAATCATCTTGCAGTATGTGTGGACCAATCAGATAAGAGTATTTGGAGTATGCTAATATAGAACACATACTCTTGCTAAAATAATATTATAGAGTCACTAAGATTTAAGTATGATTTGAAGGAGTTGTATTTTTAATTTGATTTGAGTTCATTTTTTTTTATTGTGGATCATGGATGTCTACAAAGAAAAAGCTTGAAAAAGTGAATATGAGGGTTGTAACCATATGATCCTCCAACTTTTTTTTACACGGGTTGTTTGCATGGTTGCGGCCACCATCTTGAATTTTTTTTGGATCCCTGTGGACAACCCTATCCTGGCCCATCTGCTTCTTTTCTGTGACTCCCCTGATTTCCTCTCTCCCTATTTATCTCTCTACCCTTGACATTAGAAAAAAATGGATTGGTCTCTGCTTTTCACTTTTTTACTCACTTTTTACTCTCTTCCACAGGAAACGGAGATCGACTCAGCCCCTGTTCCCAATGCCAGCACAAGCTGCGAGAAAGCCCGTCTCAGCTATTGCCAGCCCTTCTCCTAAGCACTGTTCAGTGTTGCAAGCACGAAAAGCAAACCTGTCTGCAGGTCTATGTGGCTCTGAACTCTACAGGTATGAGGGGGCCCAGGTGGAAGTGTTGAAGTTTGGGATGAGATTGCTGAAGAACAGTCCAGGTTGTTGAGGGTGCAATAATTGTGGGAATCTTGATATAACATTTGGAGTGTTATAGTCAGGTTGGAAATGGAAACGCCTTTCTAAGGAAATGGCTCGAATACATTATTTTACTAGCTCGATACCTTGCTTCACTACAAAACTATGCGGTCAGGCTTAGTTTTTGGGGAGGAAAATAAGGGGAAAAAATCTGCCTCTGCCTACCAGCATTCATCAGTATTCATCTGGCTAGCGTCCTGTCAGTGTGAGAGAGAGTTGAGAGCTGTTTGGAAACTGAAACAGAGTTTGCTGTGTGAACAAGGAGACAGCAAGGAGTCTGGGCGTGGCTTAGCTCAACTCTTCTGTATTAAAGCTGCTTGGTGCTGTGAAACTAAACTGAAAATGAAAGTCCTCTGCTTGTGTTTTGCATTTGGAACAGATTTCTTTTCAGGTGGGGAGGGGGAGTAGAACTTAGCATCAGAGCGTGTTAATAATAATACACAAAATACTAATGCTTAGATGGTCATTTCGAAAAAATCCTTTCTTACTGAGCACCTAGAAGCCAAGAGGAACATACGTGCCAAATTTTCAAGTTTGTAAGCTTTACGGTTCTCGAGATTTTGTGATGATGCATGAGTGGTATTTCGCTTTTATAGAGAGAGATATATTTATTTATTTAATTTAATATTACAGCATTTACTTAAAACATCTGTATAGCTGCCCATCTTAAAACCAACTCTGGGTAGCTTACAACTGACAAAACAATATAAAACAAGCAACAATAAACCGCACGACAGCCATATTTCCCTGATGCAACTCACATTCTGATCTCGCCCTGTCCCAGTAATCATCCCGAGACTTGAGTGCTCTCCCAGAAGATAGAAAGGAAGAGGTTTGGATGTCTTCCATATACATGTAAGGAATTTGGAGGACTCCACCCATTCTTCCCATTGAGCTAGAAAATTAAGCAAAGCTATTGAAAAGAATGACCCTTTTCTGATTTCAAGAATGCTGAAAAGAATTGTGACATAGAAATACAGGAAGGAGTTTCCCAGTCTGATGTCAGTGATCATATAGATCGGAGTCACTTTATTGGGAGCATATAAATTTAATAAATAAGTAAATAAATTTTGTCATGTGGACAAAAAAGGGCCCCACCTTTAAGCAGCTCAGCACTATTTTCCCAATGTTAAAGTTAAAGGGATGTCATAAACCCATAACCGTGTAAGTAGTCCTCAACTTATAACCACAATTGGGAACAGAATTTCCAATGCTGATCAAGACAGTTGTGTGAAATGTATCACTCCCAGTTTTACGACTTTTCCTTGTGACCATTGTTAAAGTTATTCAGCAAATCCAGCTTCCCCCATTAACATTGCTTGTTGGAATCCAGCTAGGAAGGTGGTTAATTGACATAAGTCACCTTTTACAGTGCCGTTGTAAGTTCAAATGGTCAGTAAACAAATGGTTTGTAAGTCGAGGACTATCTGTTAATTCCATTGATGATGGAATTGAACCACCTCTTTCCAACAGAAATCAACCCATCTGACTTGGTTGTGCCGCATTTCCTCGATGTAAATGTGCAGAATTTGTAAACAGAGCGCCTATTTTTGGGAGCAGCCTCTGTTACACAAGTGTGCGTTCAGGTTCAGCTTATGGTCGCTCACTCACACACTCACAGGCCTGGAAAATTGCCATACTCAATCAATCCCAAATCAACTAAACACTGAGGCACAAACGGTTCTTTAAAATACACAGAGACCCAGTGAATTTAAAATAACAGCAAACTTTTACTGATATACCGTGTTTCCCTGAAAATACAACCGACCTCAAAAACAAGCCCTAGCCCGATTTTCACACCTGCACCTAATATAAGCCCCACCCCCCAAAATAAGCCCAAGTTCAGCTCCACCCAATCTGTCCCACCATCTGGTTGTACGAGGTGGGGCGAGGAGCACGCGTAAAAACCAAACTATGGTGGGGATGGACAGGTAGAGCTGCCCCACATGCCCTGCACCTGCTTACCTTAGGACTGCTACAGCCAGTCCTCCCGTGCCCTGCTGCCTGACTGCTGAAGGTGCTTGTGGCCGCTTGCGGCTGGACGCCACATGGCATATTGCGCCAAGTGGCAGCACTGGCACAATAAGCCACACGACCTCCTGCCATGAGCGGGCGGCACCGGTGTGACAACCCATGTGGCATCTGGCTGCAAGCAGTTGCAAGCAGCCACAAAAGAAAGTTGTGACGGTGTTGCGGTGTGGGAGGCCTGGCTGCGATGCTCCGAAGGTAAGCAGCCACGACATCCCCCGAAAATAAGTCCTGGTGCTTATTTTGGGGCCCAAAAGAAAATAAGACTGGGTCTTATTGTCAGGGAAACACGGGTATTTTTGCTCTTTTACACACACACACACACACACTTACCTAACATCCACTACTAGGCTTCCAGGCACTAGCCAGAGGGACGGAAACTGCCAAGTCTGGGATCCAAAAATGAGTCACAGGCTGGGCAGGCCTCAGGACCTCTTTTTATCCCAGAGGCCCAACTTCTTTGTTGGGGAGTCTTGGGGAGAGGCTCGCCATGTGCTCAGGCCCAACTTTTGTTCCCTTAAGGACTCGGTTCCTTTCCCTGAGGAACTTTTCCTGGCTTTGGTCCATGCCGCTTACAGGCCTTCCCCGCTTTTAAGCAAAGGTGGCTTTGGCCTAGCCTCACACCCCCTGCTTGAATGGAAGCTGGCTCCTACATGATGCTTAGGAGTATTTTGTTTCATGTTTGGTTTTATGATTTTATAGCTACGTGAATGTTATTTTGTTATTGTGGGTGAGTTTTTAAAATGCTGCCTTACGGTCAACTGCAATGGGTAGTACAGGTAGTCCTCAACTTACGGCGGTTCATTTCGTCACCGTCCAATGTTACAACGGCACCAAAAAAAGTGACTTAGGACCGTTTTTTTCACGCTTGCAACCTTCGTAGCCTCCCCGTGTTCAAAATTCAGACGCTTGGCAACGGGTTCATACTTACGACCGTTGCTGTATCCTGGGGTCATGGGATCACCTTTTGACAAGCAAAGTCAATGGGGAAGCCCGATTCACTTAACATTCACTTAACAGGGTTACTAACTTATCAACCGCAGGGATTCACTGAACAACTGGGGCAAGAAAGGTCGTAAAACGGGGCAAAACTCACTCAAGAAATGTCTCTCTCTCTAACCACAGAAACGCTGGGCTCAGTTGTGGTTGTAAGTCGAGGACTACCCGTAAATCCAATAAGTGCATAAATCATGCAAATATAAATATGAAGCACATGGACGTCACCCTGTTTGAGAAAGTTAGGATATAAGATCTTCCCTTCTTGTTTGTTTTCACTTTAGGTATTGAAGGCTTCGAACTGGATTTTCTCGTTCCAAGTTCTAACCGTTACAAGCTTCAGGTCTTGAAAACACAGGCACATCAGAACAATACTACAGCTAAGGTAACCTAAGAGCAGAAAAGCATAAGTAAGGCTCTTCTAAATTGACCCAACTTGGGACCGGATTATCTGAGGGAACCGTCTCTTGCTGGTCACATCTATCCGACCCACTAGAGCAGGGAAGCAAGGAATGTTGGGCGCCCCATCCCCTAAGGACAGAGGTGGTATTCAGCAGGTTCTGACCAGTTCTGGAGAACCAGTAGTGGAAATTTTGAGTAGTTCGGAGAACCAGCAAATCCCACCTCTGACTGGAGATTTTACAGTACCCTTCCCCTGCCACGCCCACCAAGCCAGGCCCACAGAACCGGAAGTAAAAAAAATTGAATCCCACCACTGCCTAAGGAGATATATCTGGCGGGACTCAGAAGAAAGGCCTTCTCTGTGGTGGCCCCCTCTCTCTGGAACATCATCCCCCCCCCCCCAGATAGTAGACTGGCTCCCACCAGGGGTGGGCTTCACAAATTTTAGCAAAGGGTTCTCTACATGGCCATGGTGGCCGTGGCCTAGCTGGCCTCCTACACCATGGTGGGGGGTGGCGTTTTTCTCGTCCCCAGGCTCCAGAGGCTTTCGTCCAGCCTCCGGGAGGGTGAAAACAGCCTCCCCGGGCTCTGGAGGCTCTCTGGAAGCCGGAAATGGGCCCATTTCCAGCCTTCCTGAACTTCCAGGAGGCCCATTTTTTCCCCCTCCCTGAGCCTCTGTGCGTGCTCTGCACTTACCTGCATCCAAAATGGGCCGTGTGGGGACTCTTATGAGGGGCATGGTGGGCGGGGCCAGCTAGGAGTGGGATTTGGGAGTTCTCTGAACTGCACAGAATCTTAGCTAGGGGCTCTCCTGTACCCCTGTGAACCCCCAGCAGCCCACCCCTGGCCCCCACTCTAACTGTCATGCCCCTGTTGGAGTCTGGCTCCAAAGGAGAGATGGAACAGCTGACAAGGAGTGGGAGTGTGGCTCCAGTGGTTGTGGAGGAAACTGGGGAAGGGCACAGGCCGGATGGGAATTCCAGGCCCATCCCCTCTTCATCCTAGGGCACACAGGAAGGAGTGGATAAGGGAGAAATGTGGTCTACGGGGGAGGAAGGGGCCCTGATCCCCTTCATGGGCTGCAGCTAGGAGGACTGGTTAAAAGGACAAACTGCGCATGGCAAAGTTGCTGGAAGCAAAGCATGCATTCTTGTCAGAGCTTTACTGTGTTTTGGTTTCCTCCCAACTGTGGTTGCTGCGTTATCTGGTAGAAGTCTGCAATTAATCATCCTTGCCTGCCGTAGTAATTCCTTCAGTGTGGTGTGTTGGGTTTTTTATTTTGAATTAACTTTACTTTGGGTGCGGACTGCATTTACTCCCTCCGTAAACTGCTTTCTTTAAGAGTTTGCTATCCAGCCGAGGATAATTGGACATTGAGGCCAAGTTGGAGGCATTAAAGGGACTTTCTTCTATTTTTGTGACTTGGTTATTTTTGTGTCACGCCCTGGGTCATCACACCAACACTGTGTCGGAAGGCCCTGAAGAAGTGGTTCTGCCAGCAGGCCAGAGTGGGAGGGAGCCCATTAAATGGGGGCTTTGAATGTGTGTTGTTGCCGGACTAGGGTTGCGGGGTTATTTTATTTTATTTTTAATTATTTTTATTTCTTTTATATGATGGTTTTATGTCCTTGTAAGCCGCCATGTGTGAATAGGCGGCAATATAAAATAGATAGATAGATAGATAGATGATAGATAGATAGATAGATAGATAGATAGATAGATAGATAGATAGATAGATAGATAGATAGAATCTAGTCCCCAAGGATGGCACATGTACAGGTAGTTCTTGACTTGCATCGTTTTGTTCAGTGACCATTTGAAGTTACAATGGCACTGGAAAAAGCCACTAATGACCATTTTTCACATTCAGCATCCCCATGGTCACATGTTCAAAATTCGGATGCTTGGCAACTGACTCATATTTATGACGGTTGCAGTGTTTCAGAGTAATGTGATCACCTTTTGCGACCTGACAAGCAAAGTCAACAGGGAAGCCAGCTTTACTTAACAACTCAGCTAGTTGTTAGTTGTTAGTAACTCAACAACTACAGCGATTCACTTAAGAACTGTGGCAAGAAAGGTTGTAAAATGGGACAAAACTTATTTAACGACTGTCATAATAATAACAGAATAATGGAGTTGGAAAGGGATCTGGAGGTCCAACCCCTGCTAAAGCAGGAGACACTGTACCATTTTAAACAACAGAAGTTTGAGAGTCAATTGTGGTCATGTTGAGGACTATCTGTATCAATACAAGTTGAATTACAGCCAGAAATTCAGTGAGTTAAGTACTCCGTTCCATCCAGGGAAAATCATAGGTGTAGAATTTCTGTCTCTTGTAATCTCTTCTCAACTGGATCTTTATAAACCTGTAGATCCGGTGATGAGGTGCAGTCCACGTGAAGTGATCACATGAAGTGTTAATACCACTTTATAATGCCTTTGGTAAGGCCATACTTGGAATACTGCATCCAGTTTTGGTCACCACGATGTAAAAAAGATGTTGAGACTCTAGAAAGGCTGCAGAGAAGAGCAACAAAGATGATTAGGGGACTGGACGCCAAAACATATGAAAAACGGTTGCTGGAATTGGGTTTGTCTAGTTTAATTAAAAGAAGGACTAGGGATGACATGATAGTGTTAGATAGTGTTCCAACATCTCAGAGGCTGCCACAAAGAAGAGGGAGTCAAGCTATTCTCCAAAACAACTGAGGGAAGGACAAGAAGCAATGGGGGGAAACTAATCAAGGAGAGAAGCAACTTAGAACTAAGGAGAATTTTCCTCACAGTTAGAACAATTAATCAAATGTAACTTTTCTTTTGTTATTTTATTATTATTATTATTATTTTTATTTTTTTAAGTTTTTATTGATTTTTAAAAACAAACATAAACAAACAAAACATAAAAACATCAAGCCATCTTCCATATGTATACATACAGTGTGCCGGTTGGTTTACAAATTGTTTTGTGCTTCCATTCCGTAGTCTTCAATTACAATTACATTGCATATAATCTCGTATTTTCAATCAAAAATTAAATACCTTAGTATCATTATTAATCAATCATTTGACTATACTTTTATTCATTCATGTTTTACAAGATAATCATAATTTACTTAGTTTGTTTTATAACAGTTCATGTTATCATCCCAAATCTATCCTAAAATCATTTTGTAGATATAATAAGAAAGAAGTACATCTTTATATATTTATTATTTTCTAAAAGTCTACATATTTCATTACTGTATTTTATTGTCTAACCATTGATAGAATAGATCCCAAATTTTATAAAATTGTTTATCCTCTTGTTCTCTAATTTCAAATGTCAATCTACTCATTTCAGCACATTCCAATATTTTCTTAATGATTTCCTCCTGTGATGGTGTTTTCTCATTTTTCCAGTTTTTGGCAAATACAATCCTAGCCGCTGTTAATACATTTACAATCAGATATTTTAAGTCTTTACTATATATTTCAGGTAAAACTCCCAATAAAAATATCTCTGGTTTCAAGTCCATGTGTTTTTTTGTCATTTTTTCCAACCACATGTGGATTTTAGTCCAGTATTTTTTAGCATCCGCACAAGTCCACTACATATGGTAATATGAGCCAGGTGTCTGATGACATTTCCAACATTTTTCAGATTTATTCTTGAACATTCTTGCTATTCTTGTCGGGGGAAAATGCCACCTGTAAAACATCTTATACAAATTTTCTTCATATGCTGTTGACATTGTCATTTTATAATTTTGAGACCACAATTTTTGCCATTTCTCTAAATCAATCCCATATCCAAAATTCTTCCCCCAAGCAATCATAGTTTCTTTAACTTGTTCTTCTTCTAATTTAATTTCTAATAAATATCCATACAATTTTTTAATCACCTTTTCATCAGTACCTGTCAAAGTCTTATCTAAATCAGTCAATTTATCATAGAAACCTTCCCTTTTAGAATCTTTATCATACCTTGAATGTATTTGCGTATATGAAAACCAATTCATCTTTATACCTTGTTCCTCTAGTTTTTGTATAGATTTGAGTTCACCCTTTTCATTCAATATTTCACCATATCTGTTTGTTCCTTTTTGTATATTATAGGATAAGAAAATGCTTCAATAGTCGATAGCCAGACTGGAATTTTCAAATAACATTGTCTTTTAATCTTCTCCCAGTTTAACCACAGAGACTCCCGTATATAATGTCTTCTAAAATACCCCTGTGTTTTAGTTCCTTTGTACCATAAAAAAGCATGCCACCCCAACAACAAATCATGTCCTTCTAATGTCAACAATCTAGTATTTCTTAGTGTTATCCATTCCTTAACCCACATCAGATTTGTAGCTTGATAATACAACTCCCAATTAGGCAAACCAAATCCTCCTCTAATTCTAGCATCTTGCAAAAGTTTTAACTTTATTCTCGCTTTCTTACCTTGCCATATATATTTCAACACTATTTTATTTAAATCTTCAAAGTAATCTTTTCCAAGCCTAATTGGAATTGTTTGAAACAAATATAAAATTCTGGGTAATATATTCATCTTGATTGTTGAAATTCTCCCTATTAGTGACAGTTGTAAATTTTCCCATTTCACCAGATCTAGCGCTATCTGCTGTTTAAGTTTGATATAATTATTCTCTTTTAGTGTACTACATCTTGCTGTCAAATATATCCCCAAGTACTTGATCTTATTCGTGACCTGAATTTTCAATAGGTCTTCCAGTTCTTCCTTTTGTCTTAATAGCATATTCTTTGTCAAGATCTTTGTCTTATCTTTATTTATTTTCAAACCAGCCACCTTTCCATATGTCTCTATTTTTTCTATCAATTTTGGTGCTGTTTCTAGAGGGTCTTCTAAGGTGAAAACCAGATCATCTGCAAATGCTTGCAGCTTAAATTCTTCCTTTTTGATTTTCATTCCTTTTGTATTCTTTTCATCTCTAATATTTCTGTTTAGCACTTCCAAAGTTAACACAAACAACAAAGGTGATAGTGGGCACCCTTGTCTTGTTCCTTTTCTTATATTGATAGAGTCTGTCAGTTCTCCCTCTATCATTACCTTTGCCGTTTGCTTATAGTTCAAGCTTCTATTGCTTGAATAAATTTTCTAGCAAAACCCATCTGTTCCAACAGTAATAACATGAATCGCCAATTCACATTATCAAATGCCCTCTGTGCATCTAGAAATATCAGAGCCATTTGTTTTTCAGGATGTGCCTCGTAGTATTCCAAGGTGTCCAAGATTACTCTCATATTATCTTTAATTTGTCTCTGGCAGAAATCCATTTTGATCAGGATGAATAAAATTATTTAGATATTGTTTAAGTCTTTCTGCCAATATTGAAGCAAAGATTTTATAATCTGCATTTAGTAGAGAAATAGGTCTATAGTTCTTAATTTGTAATGGATCAGCCTCCTCTTTTGGGATAAGTGTAATATAGGCTTCTGACCATGATTTAGGTATCTTCTTCTTTAACATAACTTCATTCATAACTTCTAGCAATGGAAGATTCAAATGTAACTTTTCTTTTGTGTATACTAAGAGCATTTGCACCAAGACAAATTTCTTGTGTGTCCAATCACACTTGGCGAATAAAGAATTCTATTCTGTTCTGTTCTGTTCTAATCAGTGGAACAATTTGCCTCCAGAAGTTGTGAATGCTCCAACACTGGAGGTTTTAAAGAAAAGATTGGATAACCATTTGCCTGAAATGGTATAGGGTTTTCTGCCTAAGCAGGGGGTTGGACTAGAAGACCTCCAAGGTCCCTTCCAAGGACTCTTCTCTTCTCTTCTCTTCTCTTCTCTTCTCTTCTCTTCTCTTCTCTTCTCTTCTCTTCTCTTCTCTTCTCTTATGACTGAGTCCTATTATAGGATATGTTGTCCTTTCCTATTTAACTGAGAAGCCCCTTCCCACCAAATGGATCAGGCACATGCCTGATACAGCAAGAGGACTCTCCTCTTTTGATTTAGACTCTATTCACTTCTTGGATCACCAGTGGTACCTGATTCACAAGGCTGGGGTGACAGACAGTTATCCCGACACTGGAAATACATGCTGCAGATGATTCACAGGGCTGATGAGAAGAAGGCTGCATCATCAGCACACTATTTTAAAAAGCGATTCGTGAGTCATCACTGACCTGAAGTTAGGCTATTGCGTGGCTGCATCGTAGGCTGTAGGAGAATTGGCTGAAGTCCACCTTCAGCCCTCAAAAGCTTATCAAATGGTTTGTCCTCTCTCTCAATCCGACTCCAAAGAGCACATGCTTCCTTCAGTTCCGAGAGAAAAAGCGGAATATAAATCTTATCGGTGTGAATCAATGAATAGATAGAGAATTCAAACGGTGCTAGTTCTTGAATTAGGCCAAGGATCTGTAACGGGCAAAAGGAATAATGGGCAAAAGGAGAAACAGGAAGAAGTCAAAACAAGCGAGACTGAGACAATGGGCAGATAAATGAAATTGAGTCTGGACAAGACCTGTAACTTGAATAAGCGTTTTAGACAAAACCATCGCTAGTTCTCACAAAGATAAAAGTGGTGGAGGAGAAAAGTATCTTCGGACTTGTCTATGGAGATTCTCAGTCATCCCAGGTCATGGTTGTCCCAAAGGTGCTTTTTTTCCCCAAAGGACAACTGGACTTTCTGGTTTTTCTTTGAAGACATTTCGCTTTTCATCCAAGAAGCTTCATTAGTTCAAGAAGCTGAACAAGCTTCTTTGGATGTGAAGCGAAACGTCTTCAAAGCAAAAACAGAAAATCTAGTTGCCTCTTGGAAGAAAAGCACCTTCAGATTTGGACAATTATGTGACTGTATGCTTATAATACAAGTAGTATGCGTGTGCATGACTTTGGTTTTCTAGTCTGCCCTACCTTGGAGGCTTGGGAAGAAGATCTATCACGATGTACATGTTGGGAATAATGAAAGGAACATTTCTGACCCCAGCATTGTTTTCCCAGTGGCAGATGCAGTTTGACGGCTTCCAGGTGGCCAGTGGCGAGCAGGTACATGTCTCAGTGAAGACCATTCCTCCCAGGAAGCTAAACCTCAGCCAGAGCTATACAGTCACTAATAACCAACCAGGTAAGACACCTTTACTGGGCACATACACCATGCTTGCATCACCTCATGTCAAAGGATCTTCAAATATATATTTAGAGAAACCCCAAAAGTACTTCTGCCGGACATCAAAAACCTCTGCCTAGAGCCGTGATGGCGAACCTGTGGCACGCGTGCCACAGGTGGTATGCAGAGCCATTTGTGCGGGCACACGAGCCCTAGCCAAACTTACCTGCATTGCGCATACGCACGCCTCCCAGCTGACTTTCGGCCCGTTTGAGGCAGTTTTTGCACTCCCAGAGGCTCAAGGGAAGCCTCTGCAGCCGCGGGAGGCTGAAAAAAACGGGCCTTCCGGAAATACCGGAAGTGCCTGTTTTCAGCCTCCGGAGGGCCTCTGGAGCCTGGGGGAGGCTGTTTTCGTCCTCCCAAGGGCCCAAGGGAAGCCTCTGCAGCCTTTGAAGGCTGAAAAACGGGCCCACGCATGCTTTCAGAACACCACAACAAAAAGGTTTGCCATCACTGGCCTAGAGAGTTGCTGAATATTTATTAAGGAAAGAAGAGAAATGGTCAGGAGATCGTTGGAAGGTTTTAAACTGGGATAAGAGGGAAAACCCCAGTTCTAGCCATCTTTGAGCTCGTTCTGGTGTGAGCCGATAACAAAACACAGGTAGTCTCGACTTACAACCATTCATTTAGTGACTGTTCAAAGTTACAACAGTGTTGAAAAAAGTGGCTTAGGACTGTTTTTTTCCCCACACTTACGACTGTTGCAGCATCCCCATGGTCACATGATCAAAATTTAGGCGCTTGGCAACTGGCCTGTATTTCAAACGGTTCCTCTGTCCCGAGGACGTGAGGTCACCCTTTGTAACCTTCCCAGCTGGCTTCTGACAAGCAAACTCGGTGAAGGGTGGAAGAAACCAGATTTGTTTAATGACCGTGTGGTTCACATAACAACTGCACTGATTTATTTGACAACTTTGCCAAAAC